GTACTCAGCATATCCCCCGGGAAGAGGAACATGTATGGGAATGTGGCGGCAATGAGGCGGTAATGCACTCATCCTCTTCTTGTTCCCAACCTCCGTAATCTGGCGCTTCACGCGGTGACTTGCTTCTTTGATTGTCCCAACAACGTCCTCCTACCCACCTTCGGTAAGGGGGTTCATCAGGAAAAAAACACTTGCCTCGGGAACGCTCTCGAGCGTCATGAGTAGTCCGAGCAGGCCAAGGAACCCCCCCCTGTCTAGAGTAGTACCGAGCGTTCACTGGTGCTCCGCGAGGTGCCGCGAGACGCCCAGGGCGCTCACGAGCCGTCGCGAGCTGTCGTGAGCAGGCGCGGAGACATATTGAGTGAAGAGAGATTCAGTAGGAAAACCCTCGACTGCTCCGTTGTACATGAGCATTCAAATGATTCACATTCTTGGAATGTACTATCCAAATAGTACTATTATGTGCATTGGGTATAATAGCAAGCTAATGCATGGCCTCGGAACTTAGGCTACCGTCGCCCCCACTTCCCCCTCGTCTTCACTATCGGTGAGTCCGGTCCGTCCCTCGAGCTCAGCTTGCGCGGCGTCTATGGCAGCCGTTGAGATGCGAGTCGTCTGCGCCTGGAGCTTTGCCCCTCCGCTAGCTTGGCTGGACAACGTGAGACAGATTGTCAATAAGTTGTATCAGACGACGTTGAGTGAGTGCACTTACAAGGCTCTCGAATACATGCGCTTGCGTATGTTAAGCCACGCAGAAGGATTTTTGCTGCCGTACGATCGTAGATCTGCAAGGAAACCTATATAGAATGTCTCATTTTTGGTCGCGGTGAAGTCCTCCCTGATATGCCGTCCGGTAGACCACTCGCAAATGTGCGCGTGGATCTGACCATGACATCATGGAAATCAATGCATCAGAGACCGCTCGGAAAGTGAGTACACATGCGATGGACTTACCACAGTGTGCAGGAATGCGAGAAGCTGATCGGGGATTGGGTCAAAAAACTCTGGGTGCATAAAGCCAAGGCCGGTGCGAGTGTTTGGGAACAGTGCTATCTCGAGAGAACGTCCTATAAGGGCATGCTCGCTATACTTTTCCTTGCGCCCCATAGAGATATCAAACACCTGTAATCAAGCAAAGAATGAGGAGATGTGTATCATGCTAATCAGAGGCATACCACTTCAAAACACACCTTATAGTGAAACATGCCGTCGACTACAAGACATTTTGAAAGCTGAGCATTGTGCAGCTCAGCTTCTGTGGATGCGGACCGACGGAACCCGTAGCCATCGACAATTTTGGCTCAGATGTGATCGGAAACGTCTCCACGCACAGACGACTTGCGTGCACCGATCTGTAGTTTCCGGACAATCGTAAGCACTGATATAAGTGCGGAAGTGATGCAAGGGATGTACAATACGTATCATACGCTCCGAGAGGGCGTAGAGTGGCAGTGTCTCACAAGCTGCACAGGTGGCGTTCCAAGCGCGGATGACAAACTCGCGCTGTTTGCTCGGTCCAGGGAACAGTTCCTCTGTGAAAAGGTAGCATGAGTAGTAAGATCGGGCCTCTATCAGAAGGCCCTTGATATCGTCGACGTAGTCGTGAGCCATGGGGCGAGCTTGAGGTGATGGTTCAGCACCGTTCCGAAAAGGTGCGAGTTGAGGTTCAGAGGTAGATGATGTGATGGAAGACGTAGTAGTCACCACCCCAGCATTCTCGAAAATGGCTAGAGTACCCTCAGAGGGTGAGACAGCTGCCGGTTGTTGGGAGGGTGTGGGTGATGTAGTCCGCAACGGCACAATACTATGCACCTCGTGAAGATTTCTGCCACCGGTTCCTTGTGGGGTATCCTCTGGGGCAGCAATATTGGCAGGTGAGAGTGCGCCATGTCCATGGTTTGATACTCGCTGGGTGTTTTCGGGACATGTAGGGTTTGCATTGCGAGTTGGCAGCACTTGTGATTCCCCTTTGCGGCGTCGAATGTTGGGGGCTGGTCCTGGTTGCACCACAGTAGTGCGACGCTTCACGAGCTGCAAATGTAGGGGTGTGGTCAACAAGAATTATAAAAGCAAAGTGGACAGAACACGTATGATGGGCGTACCGAGGCCTGAAGCGTCACAGCGGCATCCTCCTCACCGCTCCCTTCTTCCGATTCTGGCGGGAGCTTGCCGTCATTGTCATTGTCCTCTGCATTCACACTGCCCTCTGTGTCTTCTTCCACCCGATGTTTCTTCTGCCTGGCAAGTCGTTTTTTCGCATTGATGAGTTCGCGACGGAGCCGTCCAATCTCAGTCTCTTCTTTTTCCTTCCTTTGCTTGTCTTTGACATACAAAAGGCCTCCGATGTCAGTGTAGTCATTAGGGAGTTAGAATGACGAAATGTGTACCTATTTCCTTCTGCCTTGTACTCACAGTGCGAGCACGTTTCGCATTGGGCGGTGGAGTTGTGTGATGGGTAGGCTAAGAAGAAATTGTAAGCTCTGGGTAGCGGCACAGCAAATGTGAAGAAGATATGCAGGGTCTGGCTCTTGCCTCAGTGCTAGATTCACGGTCAGATTCCACAACAGACGGCCGTCCTCGACGCTTCTCTGCTGGCATGCTATCAGTAGTCTATCCAGTATAGGTGGGGATTGTGTGTGCTCGTGTAGTGACCACTTCCTCAGGAGTCGACAGTGTTTAGAGTACGTAGATGAAGGCAACAGAGAGGGACGGTCAAGAACGATTCAACAGCATGCATGGTAAGTCCTACCACCTAGGAGATGCCACGTCCTGTGGCGTAAAGGCATTCTGTGGCGCAAAGGCATGAGCGCACGGACTGGGGGAGGCAAGGCTGACTGCCATCGTCCTCCTGTATCTACTCCAACCTCTTCGCTATGAAACAACGCAGCTATCGGTGTGGAAACTGTGGCCATAGCACTATCACGGTGCGGGGCCTAAATATACACTTTGCTGTCGCTGCTGCTTGTCGTGAGGCTCTCCACAACCATGTCAATAAAATGGTCTCTGCCAGCGAGGCGATCAACCTACCTCAGGCTTCCGCACACCAAGACACCTCATCCTCTTCACACTTAGGTGTTTTCCCCCCATCTCCAGCTGTGCCGGCATGCACGACGCTCCCAACAAACCCTGTTCCTGCCAACGACCCCATGATAGTTGAGGAGTTCACCCCCGAGGACCTGTCTGGGTCCGCAAATGATCTAGCAGCCCCTCACGACAGGCCAGGACACGTGACAGTTGACGAAGTAGACGACATTGAAGTGGGAGGTATTCCGAAGTTTCCCTGGACCGGTGAGTATCCGGCTGAGGTGGCCACGGAGACTGGACAAGCACGCACCTTCTTTGAAGAACTACTGGAAACGCAGGAGAAGGCAGGGAAGGGAATCTATGCGCCATTCGCCAATGAGGAGGAGTGGGGTCTAGGAAGCTGGCTAGCTACGAGCGGGCTTAGTCAAGAGGAGATTGATAAGTTTCTTGCCCTTCCGATTGTATGTACACTACGCAACCTGTCTTATTTTGACATACAGTGACTGCCGAAAATAGTGCACCGGCGCTTCGCGCGAATGAAATCTCTGTACGACGGACGACCTGTGCTATGTTTTGGGCTGCTTATTGTACATCTATGTAGCCACACAAGTCTTGATATCATGCAAAGACTCTCGCGACAAACGGCGCAGGATTGCCCAGGTTATTTGAGTGACATTGGACAGACCCCAAGTTAGGGGTACGTATCAAGGTGGTAACGAGCGACGAAAGTTAACCGTAAGTCTACAAAATCTCGATGCTAAGCCTAGTAGCGTGTATGCAGTCCATGAGCAGCCTTGAGAGCCTCAACACGATGGGGAATGGAATCGTACAGCTTCTGTATATAACCAGTATCAAGCCCATACCATTCCTCCTGCAAGGCAGCCCATAACTCATCAACATTCCGGGGGAGAGGGGAACGACGGCGCACACGGCGGTCTAACTCCTCCCAGACATGCTCGATAATGTTCATGTCAGGGG